TTTTATTTCTCCATTTTCATCAATGTGCATTTTAGATTTAAATAAATATTTTGGTTCATTTACTATTGTTGAGAGACTCTGTAATATAAAAAAAATAAAAATATACGTATATTATGTATATATTCTATTTAAGGTTAAACAAAGCAAGCGACAAAAGGTACCATTAAAGAATGACCTTTACAACTCATATTTTGTTATCTTAATATTCCATGGTGTTAAAAAGTTCTTGTAAAATATTCAGAGGGGTTGTGAATTTCATCCCCTTAGAGGACGCTAGTGAAGCTTAAGGTATACTAGAAAATAAGGTGTAATAAGGTAGTAATTCAGACTGATACGAATATCTGATCCATATCCATATATTGTATCCAAATCGATACAATATCATTGATAATCATCATTTTTGGAAAAACGAAAAGGAAAACATATTTAAAATATTTTGATCGACATTGTATGTCATTCCGAAATTCTACATAAATTATCTTTTGACGTACCTTGTAAACCTAAATTTGAATTATTTTTGGAATAATCCAAGTTGCCAGAACTTAGTCGCTATGCATTTTGATAAAAAAATTGAAGAACCGACGCTTAAAAAAAAATAACAAACAATCAGAGTTGAAACGTAGAAGGCAAGGTAGAAAAAAGAGACTAAAAACAAGAACATAACCCGAGTGAAGGAGAAGAAGGAATAACTTAATGTGAGTTTAAATATAAAAAAACTAGAATTCGTGAACCTTTAAAACATTAACTGAGACAATAATCAGGATACAAAAAGAAATAATAAAATTAAAATGACCGGTTTGAAATTGGACACCTAGCGCAAGCGTGTGAAATCACCGAGGATTTAAATTGAGATAGAGGAGGCGTACATAGAAACCATTGTTTGAAGGAGAAACAAATTACTTCTAATTAAGATGAGTCTTTAATTCATTTTTTTTTGGTTCATTATCAAACTAAATTTTTTGAGAATTTAATTTTGATTTAGGATATTCAGTCCGAGTTAACAACATCACATGATATAAAATTTAAGCCCGTATTAATAATTAAACAATTTATTAAGTTTTTATTTTTTTTTTTTAATTAAATTGGTCTTTTGAACTGAATCCACAATTGAACCCTGAAAAGAACTTTAATTCATCGATATATATATTTCTTCCATAATCAGTACCAATACAACACATACAAATTTTCATATTCTTCAGTTTACTTATAGCCAAAATAAGAAATAAAATGTAAATTTTTGGCTCAACTTTGATCGCTCATAGCTCGAAAACAAAAAAGTTACGGCCCTATGTTTATATAAAAAACTTCGTAGTAAAGTTTCCCGATTAAAATCTAAACCAGCCTGTGTAAAAATTTAATGTAATTTTTCATACTAGTCGAAAAACAGTATTCAGGAACATATTTTTATGTAACGGATACCCCCGCCCCGTATTAGTCCGTTTTATCGAGATTTTACTGTGTTTTAATTTGAAAGTATTAACGCTTTAAATTATGTAGACGAGGAAAGAAAATCTTGCATTGCTTAATCTTAAATAGAATAATATGCATAATACATATATGGATAATTTTATTTTTTTCTATTATTATAGAATTATAGAGCTTCTGAACATGACTAATCCTTAGTCGAAACATGTAAGGCCCATTTTAACTAAAATTTTTATTTAAATCTAAATTTTTTTTTTTAAATTTTTTTATAAAATAGGTTGTGTATTTTCTTTGGATATTGTAAATATTCATAACTCTTTATATTTTGTCCCTCTAAAGCTTTACTTACAGCGCCTTACCAAATCTGTAGATGCATATTGCCAGAGTGTTGTTGTTTCTAAATGATTGTAAATGCAGTATCCAGCAAAATTATGGAACATATTCAATAAAATTATAACATTCTATATTTAACTTAATTGAGCAATAATAATTATAATACAATAGCGCAACAACAAATTTTTAAAAATAACAATAAACATGTACTGCGCTTAACTTAACAATTAATAATTTATCAATAAATAAATCACAAATTCAATCTCATCTTTCTTCAAGGTTAACACTATCGTAAACTAATACATTTGTCTGAATATCAATTCTTTGTTAAAGTTACGTCCAATCAAAGTAGGTAATAATTACTCTTTAATAATATTCCTTATTTTTCTTTTTTAGGGGAAAGGCTACAAAATCGTCGAACATTTTCTTTGCTACCATATCCCTTACATACTATATAGATTTTGAGCAAAAAGTATTTTGGTTTAAGGTAAGTCCGCCTATTGCTGTTGATTACAGTAAACTTCTAATTCCTCAACATGTTACTTTACAGTTGCCGTAACGATGATAATCTCGTACAAAAATCAAGATTTCTACCACAGATGTCATCTAAGACCATTGCCGCCAAGTAAAGGATTTGATACCCGAAAGGTTGGTAGCCTGTTAATAGATCATTGTTCGCCAAATAGTCAGCAACACTCTGTTTTATTTAGTTGAGTAAACATACTGTATAAGGTTATCCAACTCCCTATGGGAGAGAATAAGCCTTGCTGTGGCGTCATTGGAAGAATTGACATTTCTATGTTTTTATTTATACAGTGAATTTCACTTAAGATGCAATACACAAAAATATATTTCCATAGAAACCAGGGCGTACTTTCTTCCACACAAAATGCAACATGTTAATATAATTTGACATTACAGTAAAACCTCGATATAGTTCAATAAGAATATACAATAATTTAGCGCTGAACAGCAAATAAAACTAGACTAACACTAGCATTAGAACTAACACTAGACCGAGAACTAGAAATATTCCGTTTAGCCGTACCTCTCTTAAGACGGTTGGTAGGTGATAAGTACCGCTAGTTAGCATAAAATATCACTATGCTGCATATTTTTATTGAACTAAAACTAGAACTAACACTAGACCTAGAACTAGAAACATTCGGGTTTCTAGTTCTAGGTGCGTCTCTTAAAACGGCCGAAAAGGATTTTACCTTTTCCAAGCAAGGGCTAAACCCGAAACTTTCTAGTTCTAAGTGTAGTGTTCTAGTTTTAATTATTATGCAGCGCAAGACCAAGAATTAGAATCATTCGGATTTAGCCGTTTTAAGAGACGTGCGGCTAAACCCAAATGATTCTAGTTCTAGGTATAATGTGAGTTCTACGTAGTAACAGTGTAAAGCTAGTGTGAAACTAGAACTAACACAAGAAATAGAACCAGAATCATTCGGGTTTAGCCGTCTTGAGAGACGTGCTGCTAAACCCGAATGTTTCTAGTTCTAAGTCTAGTTAGTGTTAGTTCTAGTTTTAATTGTTATTCAGCGTTAGATTGTGGTATATTATTATGGAACGAAAAGTAGAACTAAAATTAATTTTCCTGTCGGGAAATTAATGTTTTTTTAAAAAAAGTTTTATTTATTACAAAAGGATAAGGTCTTTCATCTCTTTAGATGGAAGGACGCAGCCAAGGGTATTGGCGATGTTCTTCTTCGGTATCTTCTGAGGGTTGCTTGGTAATCTTCCAGTTTCCTTGGTACTTCTGGTACAACTTAAAAATATTATTGGTAGTCCCAGCACGATTTTATGTTATACCCATTGAAGTTCGTCTAATTCTCTTGATCAGTTTGGCAAATTGTTTTCTGTTCGGTTTCACTTTTCCCATTGGAATTCTTGTAGTTGGATGTCTTCTTGTTTCCAATGTGTGTATTTCTTCTTTTAAGTCCTGATGTTTTATGGAATATAGTTGGAATTCTCGGTTCGGAACGAATTTCGATTGGGTTCGTAAAACTTCCTGTTTCCATGATATTTCACATTCTTCGGTTGATTGGGTTAGATGATTACCCTTGATTTTTCTATTTGCTTCTCGATCGTCACACTTAAGATTGAGGTATTCTTCTCCAGGACTTGTCAAGATCTATTCACTCTTGGAAATGGATTGAATGCGTTTTATATTTATGTTTAATTTGATTTAGATTTACTAAATTATTATATTTAATAATTGAAACTAGTTTGTATCATATTCACTTATATATTTTAAAACTCTAGTCACACTCACATTACTACAAGTATCTCTTAATCTATATATATATCTAATTTCGGCAACTAAACCTACAACATCCCCTTCCATAATGCAGGGTGCGGCAGAGAGGACGGACTGTTTTAAAAAAATCATAAAATCGTTAATTTTTACTCAAAAACAAATTTATTGATGGAATCATGTTCGCAAGGAAATAGCATTTGAGACAGTCAAGTGTGGAAAATCACATCAGTCATGTGGTGGCCGAAATCGGTGATGCAGTGCTGGAGGCGTTCTCGGAAGTTCGCGTAGGCTCTCTGCAACATCGCTCTCTCAACTTGGGCGACTTCCACGCGAATTGCCTCCTTCAATTCGTCCAGAGTTCGGGGTTTGTTCTCGTATACTCTAGCCTTGAGGTGTCCCCATAAGAAAAAATCGCATAAGGATAAATCTGGGGACCGAGGAGACCAATGAACATCGCCAAACCTGGAAATAAGGCGACCAGGGAAAAGAGGGCGAATAACGTCCATTGATGCTCTGGCTGTGTGGGCGGTCGCCCCATCCCGTTGGAACCACACATGTCGGATTGGAACACGTCGCCGTCGTAATTCATGGAAAAAGAAGGTGGTGATCATTTCGACGTAGCGCTTTGAGTTCACGGTAACAGCACGACCATTTCCGTCTTCGAAGAAATAAGGGCCAATGATGCGAGTTTGCGATACAGCGCACCAAACCGTAACTTTTGGGCTTTGCAGCGGTCTTTCGTGTAACTGTTGCGGATTTTCATTAGCCCAATAACGGCAATTCTGCTGGTTAACCATGCCGTTAAGGTGAAAGTGGGCTTCGTCACTCATGAACAAAATGAGGTTCTCATTTTGATCGATCAGTGCTTCCATCTCACGTGCGAAGTTCATTCGTTGTGCATAATCTCCGGGCACTTTAACTTTTGCACAATGGACAATTTGTAGGGGTGAAAGTGGAGATCCATACGCAAAATTCGCCTTACCGCACGATCACTGAGGCGAAGTGCAGCACCATGTTTCCGACCAGATCGAGTCGGACTGAGAAGAAAGGCTTGTCGAACGCGTTCAACATTTTCAGGAGATCGAACTGTTCGCGGAGCTCCTCTTGCTCTTCTGTTGATCAGTTCACCACGAGTGCGAAGTGATTCAACCCAACGAAGGAGGTGTTTCGAGAGGGAACAGCTCTATTCCGATTAATGTTGAAGTGGCGACGAAACTCACGCTGTACGACCTTGACTGACTCATTATTTCGGACGAAACTATCATAGGCGAAAACGCGGTGCTCTACCGTCCAAGGCTCCATGGCGTCAACTGGTAAAAAAATGCTAGGAACTCGCGTGTCAAACGACACCCTCCCCACCTCTCTCGTCCTAAGAGGGGGAGAGTACTACCCATCTCAAAAACGTCCGTCCTCTCTGCCACACCCTGTACTTCCTTAATGGTTATCTATAACTACTATTAATACATTACATAATCACGCAACCTATTAGGGATTTTTCACTCTCTTGTCTCTTCTGTGTTAGTTATTATAACTTTATTCATTTTTTCACCAATCTCCCGCTCATCCCGACTAACAAGCTCTTTATTATTTGTAAATTCAGGTTTATTCATAGATTTTCTCAAAAAGCTACTATTTCTTCTATATTCTTGATTATTTTCATCTCGTACCACATACGATCTGTGATACTCCAATCTCCTTTCAACTTGTGCTGGAATCCATTCACCTCTTTCCTTTCTAATTGTTACAAAATCTCGTTCACTAAATTCAGATCTATCCTTACCATTTTTTATCTCATTTTTATTTTCCTTTAGTTTTAGTTGCTTGTTAAGCCTAGGAATAATCTTCTGGACATCAATATTTATGCCGCTGACAATCCTATATTTATGTTTGGCGTGTTTCTATTCTAATAAACTAATATATTGTAAATCTGTTGATTTCTTTAGCATATTTTTGGCTATATTTTTGACCGCTTTTTCCGCTGATCCATTTCATTTAGGATAATGTGGACTGCTTGTTTGAATTTGAAAATTCCACTCCTTTGCTCGCAAATTATTGACATATTATCTGATATTATAGTATCAGATCATCATTTGGTATTTCATGGTATGAATATACAGATTTAAACTTCTTCATTACACTAATTACGAGGTATAATTTCCCTGCAAATTCGCATATATCCGTTGCCAATTTAGAAAATGGTCGGTTCGGTATAGTATGAGTTATTAATTTTTCTTTTGCATTTTTTGGTTTATACTTTTCGCAAATTTTACATTTAGATATGTATTTTCCAATATCTTTATTAATATTAGGCCAATTATAAACTACATCTAGCTCTTTCAATAATTTCTGGTGATACCCATGTGGGTTTGATGTAGTAATCTTAACATATTATCCTTATAAATCTCTGGTACTATCAATCTGTCTTCAATAAACAACAATCCATGTTCATAAGTAAGATCGTGTTTATGAGGCCAATAAGTTTTTGGTACTTTTTTGTATACCGGACATGAGTTGGTAACATAACTTATTAATAACTTTAAATATTTATCATTTGCAGTGGCTTCTTGAAATTCTTTTCTTTTTTGGTCTGATATGCATAAATGCTTCTCAACTGAATGCACCAATCCAGTCAACTCTAGATCATCAGATATTTCATCTTTAATAAACGATAATATATCTGCAATATTCAAATTTTGCCCTGGCATGTATTCATAACTAAAATTTTTGCAATGTCGGTGATACTATTTTTTGAAATTCTTTTTTAAATATTCCAATTAAAGGTTTATGATCATTTACTACTCTAACCTTTTGCCCTTACACATAATAATTAAACTTTTCCAGTGCAAACACACTCGCAACATTTCTTTTCCTATTTGTGAAAATTTTATTTCATTCTCCGTTAAATACCTAGATGCATAACACACAGGTTTTCCGTCTTGTATTAACGCTGCTCCTAACCCCTTCTGCAACGCATCAAATTTTTCAAAATAGGTTTATTTGTCAAAATTTTATTTAAAGCTTTTTCATGATTAACGGTAACCATTTAAATTCAGTGTCTTTTTTTAATAGTTCCCTTAATGGTTCTATTATGTCACTATAATTTTTTACAAATCTTCTCAAATAATTCAGCATACCCAAAATGCTCTGTAACACTTTCAGGTTTGTAGGAGACTCTATTCTATTTACAGTTTTTACTCTTTCAATGTCTGGGTATAAAGCCATCGCAAAAAATATGACCCAAATACTTGACTCTATCAACTTTATATTGCATTTTCTCTGAATTAAATTTTATATTCAACGTCTTTGCCCTTTCCATTACCAATTTTAATGTTTTATCATGTGTTTCTAAATCTGTTGTTGAAATTAAAATGTGGTCAAAATAAACAAAAACATTTTCAATGTTTCCAAAGTTTGCCTCAATTATTTTCTGGAAAAATTCTGGGGCACTAATTATTCCAAAAGGTAGCCTATCAAATTTATAACACCCAAAAACTCAATTTAATAATATCCATCTTTAAGATCCAAAGCAGTAAAATACTTTTTTCCAGACAACTTAGTACACATATCATCAATTGTTGGTATTGCATATAATTTCATTGAATCGCTTTATTGAGATCTTGTGGTTTTTCAACGATAACAAGATTATTGATCCACTCTCCTGGATCTTCTACCATGCTTATAATTTTTAATTTCTCTAATTCATTTAATTTATTTTGAAACTTATTTCTTAAACCTAAAGGAATTTTTCTTGAAAGCTTTGCTACTGGATCACAATTAGGTTTTTATGTTATTTTATATTTTTCTTTAAATTTCCCTAATCCTTTAAAATTTTCTTTATATTCTTTGAAAGTTTTACTTTTATCATTTAATGCAAATTTTCCAACTTCATTAACAGTCTTAATTATACCTAATAACTGAGAACTTTCACAACCTAATAACGAATTCGATTTTACATCAACTTCAATAAATTTTAACATTTTTTCTTTTCCTTTTTCAAAACTACATTTCAATTGTACACAACCTATCGCTTTTGTTTTTGAACCACCAAAAACCTCTAACATTACATTTGTCTTTTTAATTTCATGGTTCGTAAAATATTTGTCAAACATGTTCAATGGCAAAATATTAACTTCAGCTGCACTATCTATTTTTATCTTAATTTGAATATTATTTATATATATATTTTCAAACCAACCTTTTACATTTATGACATTAATATTTCTTTTTACTTCTATACTACTTATCTTTAATACTTTATCCTCTTCATCGCTCTGATTTTCCTCTTCATTAACTTCTTTCACCTTTTTGACTTTACATGATTTAATAATCTTCTAACTTGCATTTATTTACATAAAGTCGTACTAGTTTCGGGTTACCCCATCATCAGCGACAAAGTCAATGAAGTTATAATAGGTGTAGACTGGAAATCATGTGAAAGTAAAGCATTTCGCTATCTGATGAATAAACAAAATGAGGATGAAAAATGAATTAAGAATGGCGTCGTTAAAAAGTGTGGAATGTTAAAAAATTAGAAATTCGAATAAATCTTAAAGATCTGGATGGGATGAGATGAGACGAGACTTTATTCCTTTGTCTACGAGTTTATATAAATAAATGCAAGTTAGAAGTTAATATATGCTTTTTATTTGCTCATTAATCTTGCAACATGGATAACTCTTTCAATTTACATGATTTGGTACTAAAATGGGCACTTTCGAGGTCCATGTTTCTTCTGGCATGTTCTACATACAAATTCTTTTTCTTCTTCTTTATTTACTTCTCTTTTCTTTACTATTTTATTAACTTCCATCAAGTGTAATTTTTCTATATGTAATTTTGTTATTTCTGCTGTCCTACACTCATATCCATTTCGGCTTTTTCTAAAGTTAAATCTTCTTTACCCATTAACCTTTCTTGTAAATTTTTATTTGTTACTCCTAAAGCTATTCTGTCTCTGATTAACGAATCTCTTTGATCACCGAATTCACACGATACTGCCAACTTTTTTAATTCCGTTACGAAATTATCAAAACTCTCCATTTCCTCTTGCTTTTTATTAAAAAATTTAAATCTTTCTTACATAACGTTCTTCTTTGGATTCATATAATCCTCAAAAGCTTTCATTACCTTTTCATACTTTTTTCTATCTTCATCACTGAGATTAAATGTGTTGTAGATGTTTACGGCTTCCTCTCCAATAATATTTAAGAGAATCGCAACCTTCACTTCATCTTCTTTCTTATATTTTCCTGTTGCTAACATATCTATTTCCAAATTTTGTTTGAATTTCTTAAAATTTTTGCTTAAATTTCCTTCTCAAATTTTATGTTTAATTTGATTTAGATTTACCAAATTATTATATTTAATAATTGAAACTAGTTTGTATCTTATTCACTTATATATTNATGCCGACTCGTTTAGTGCAATCTGCCAAAAACCTTTATTAGCATCAAGTGTTGTGAAAATTTTTGCTCCATTTAATTTATGTGTCAGTTCCTCAAATGTGGGTATTTTATAATGCTCTCTCTTTATTGCCTGATTCAAATTTTTAGGGTCTAAACATATTCGAATATTACTGTCAATACTTTTCTTTACTAATACTAAGGGGTTTACGAATTCTGTTGGTTCACTAATACTAATGATTATATCGTCATTTATCATCTTTTTCAGTTCATTTTTTAAAGGTTCCATTAATTGAAATGGTACTTATCTTGGTGGTACAACAACTGGAGTATAATTATCTTTTAACTTGAACTCATATGGCTCAATTTTTATTTTCCCTAGCCCTGAAAATACC